TAATAAAAATATATATAAATCTCTTGTAATGTGTGTAGTTATTCTTGTAATATGATGATCGGATTAGAAACATCATGAAACAGAAAGTTTTAATTCATTATTTAAATTAAAACTACGACGAACTAAGCAATATAATAGTTTAGGTTTTACAATATTAAATTTGTTTTTTACGGTTCTATCTTATTCAATATAATAAAAATATATATATATATATATATTATATATAAATATTTATTTTGTATTTTGAAATTCCATATAACATCATCAATAAATGATGCTTTCCAATTGCTGTTAGATGAACCGAGAACATATTTCAATTTTCTTCACCTGTGTCCACAACATTTTCTTCTAATTCTAATGTTAGCTATTTTGTTCTATTTATGTTTGTTTTCTTTTTAATAATAATCTTTTGTATTCTTTATTAAAGATAAATATTAATATTTTTAAATAGTTTTCATATTGAATAGTTTAATTCAAATCAAGGCAATCATCTACTTCTGTCTGTTAATATTTTGTAATATTTCTTCAACAATTTATAGGAAACAAAATACGAAATCTAAACCAAAACATTTTTTTCATCTTCTTCTTTTCCAAAAATAAATCGATTTAAATAATTTTCTCTTTAAATAGTGTATTTAAAATTGATGCTCGCTATGTCGTACCATTAATGTTTTGCTTTATGTAGTATTTTTTTAATAATTTGTTAGGAAACCAATCACGAAAACATCAATATTTTAGTTTAATTTTTAACTGCAATATTTTTTATATTTTTCTTTACCAAAGATAAATATTAATCATTTAAGATCATTTACCCACTGACTAGTGCAATTGAATTTTATTTATATTTTCCTAAGACGCTCGTACAAAGTTGTTTTGTATTACAAAGAACAATGAAACAAAACAATAAAACAATTATAATTTTGCATCAGTTGCATCGACATACCGGTTTCGTGTTGCAGAAATGATTGCAGAGATTTGTTTTTGAGAAATCGCTCTTGTACACAGGATTCAGATATAATCTGAAAGACAATTCATTTCGTTAGTATACTCGTACATGTGTGAATGTTAACATTTCCTGTCCACTCTTCTTTTATTTTCTTCAACGGCCAATAAGAAGAACCTTCAAGAAAGGGCTTTATGATCATAATTTTACGGTAGGCGAGCAAAAAGTTGTATTACTTGAAGAAACTCGAAGATGTCGACGAGATATAAAAGTTGATTTTGAATTTTAAAATAATTATACGATTGTAAATATTTTATAAATATATAATATGATATAAATTATATTAGAAGTATCTCATCAATTATCTTACAAGTTGAAATTTTTAACTGTTGAGAATTGGACATTTTATTTTATTACTTTGTCTGAGGAGACATAGTTTCAATAGTTGTTGTTCTCAATACAATTTATAACAATTATTGGAATTAATAACATTTCCACAAAGGGGCATTTTATAAACAAATATATAAAAATTAAAAATTTTATTTGCGATTTATTTTATAGTATTTTATTGTCTGATTTTACTTCCAATTCTCAAGTTTTTGAGATTTTTTAAATTATTTATGTAAAATCATACTATATATGCATTATTTTTATCTGAATATTATTCAAATATACAGTTTTTGATATTTTATGTAAAACATGAATAGCTGAGTTTAAATTGGCGCTTATACTAAATTTAGAAAACAATGAAAATAAATCATATAACATGTTCATATATAAATCATCAAAGCAAATTATGGTTGTATATTATTGTATATAAAATCCGCCAACTGGTTTTGAAAACTATGGGCATGAAAGTCAATTCAAGTGAACTATGACTAATCTGTACCTGGAATTGTTTAATGCTAAAAGAATGCAATCTACAATTTAAACTTTTGATACTTCAGAATAGTTTTAAAGTGAAATTGAACACAAATTGTACAATTATTTGATAATAAAGCAATTATATGATGATAGGTGGATAAAATCTTTCACCTTGGCTAAGCATGCGAAACATTTTGAAACTTGATAAATAAAAATTTGGATTTTATAAGCTTTTTTATTACGTGATGATTTTCAGCGTTATGAATTCTAAATATTTATAGCAAAATTATATCAACCGTTACATCCAATAAATTAACTAAAATTTACAACTTAACAACTCAGTAAATATTTTCTGCATATTTACAGACCAAAACTACAATATATAATAATGGTTTTAATTCACAAAAAAATCAAAGACCATTTCACCAAGAGTTTATATTAAAAATGCTATAAAATTCGATATTTTATTTATGATCATATCATATATAGCTGTAAATTTTATGAAGAAATTTATAAGAAGAATTCTAAAGGTCGGTAAAGTGTCTCTTTGAAGTCGTACTATAATGAGGAAATGTTGAAAGAAGTGAAAGTTCCACAATGGCCGTATAACTACTCTGTGTTACCTGACAGACGAAAATATGAACACACTTACTGTAATGTTTCGTTCAATATTTCAATTTAAATATATGTACTTTCATAATCAATATATCTCCTAAGCAATTAAAATTTACTTTCATTTTTTTTGTAGATTATGCGTAATTAAAATTAATTATAAAAATTTCGCTTTTGTGCAAGTTATTTATTGTCACTTTCTTATTATTTTTAAAGATAGAAGTTTTCGAATCATTATTGTTACGATAAAATGATCTAAAATCATATATTAAAATTAATTACTGTTTCTTAAGATTT